GTTGCACAAAAGTCATCTTCAAAGGAAATCAGTTGAAGAAGGTGGATTGTTATATCACTGATTAAATGTGCCTTTAGAAATTAACCCTGTGGGAAGGATACATTGACATGGTATCTGTTGGAGAGGTTTACACATTCAAACATCTCTGAATAGGGGAGAGAGACAGCGAAGAAAGCAGACGAATTCTCAATACTACCTTACACCTTATCCAAACTGTCAAAACACAGGTGGAGAATTTAAGTTAGGAACAAAGATGTGCTTTCAATGACATTGCATTGCTAGAAGCTGATGGCAAAAACCATCAATATATGGAACTGAACATTGATCCCATTGAGGAACTTTTGGATTTTTAACAATGCCCTAAGTGTCAGAAAAAATTCAGCAAGATAATTCAAGTCTTATCACAAAATGTGATCATTGTGGTTGTACTTTCAGAAGCTCCTCTTTGAAATTGTGATTTTCGTTAAGTTTCTGGTCCGGAATAAGCAAGAAAGCAGTGACAAAACCGAAAAATTTATTTGCCTTATGGTGTTCAACGATGTATTAGAAAAAATGATCAGTTCAATTGAAGGAGCTCATGAGTCGTCAAGGATGTTACGATTTAGTTCAGTCACAACAATTTCAAAATGGTTTAAAAAATTCTAATGTTTCAGTAGTACTTTCAGAAGCTCCTCTTGCAAAACTGTCACATAAATTAAGTTTCTTGTCTAGAATAATAAAGGAAGCAGTCACAAAACTGAAATATTTAGCTGCTATATGGTGATCAAAGATGTATTGGGAAAAACAATTGCTCGGTTGAAAGAGTTCATCACAATGTCATCTTGGGAAAGTTACTTGTGTTAGAAAATTTTCGTTTCTGAACATATCTAACATGTTGACTTAGTTTTCTTATAATTAGAGTTTGGGATGAGATACTTTGTAGTCACCTTCAACCTGAAAATGCTATTGTTCATTCAAGGTTGATTTAGGTTCTTGATGAAAGTGTTAGATCAGTTAGGTTAACAACATATAAAGTTTGAATTTAATAAACTGTAACTGGATGTTGTGTTTATGGGAACTTTCAGATTTTTCTCATAGGTGTAAAAAGAACGCATGACCCACACCTATATTGGTTTCATTCAGAAACGAATTTCAAAATTTTGACAAGCACCCCATTAGTTAAAGTTAAAGTTTTTAATGATATTATCCTAGACGTTGATAGGAATAGGACTGTTATCTTACTTTTATTAGATCTATCGGCCGCTTTCGATACGGTCGATCACACTATACTGATTGAGAGATTAGCAAACCGCTTCGGTCTTTGCAATCTAGCTCTGGCCTGGTTTAAATCATACCTGAGCGACAGAACTCATTTTGTGAGCATTCGTGGTGCGCGGTCTGTCACGTGTTCGCTGTCGTGCGGAGTACCACAGGGCTCCGTGCTTGGACCGATTTTATACCTGCTCTATACCTCCCCATTGGGGGATATTGTCAGACAATACAACATGGGCTATCATTTCTATGCTGATGATACTCAGTTGTATCTGTCTTTCAATTCTCTCAGTGGGGATGATCAAGCTTATTCTGTCTCTCAGGTTGAATCTTCTGTTAGAGATATCGACCATTGGATGTTTTGTAACAAACTTAAGTTGAATAGCGACAAGACGGAACTGCTCGTTATCAGTTCAAAATATCGGCCACGCCCATCTTTAGATAGTATCCTGATTGGTGATCATCGTGTAGAGCGGTCTGACAAAGCTAGGAACATAGGAGTTGTTTTTGATGAGACCTTGTCACTGGATAAGCATGTGAGTTCCGTTTGCAAATCTGCTTTATTTCATCTTCGGAATATCGCTAAGATTAGAATGTATCTGACTTTTGAGAGCACAAAGACCCTTGTCCATGCTTACGTTACTTGTCAACTGGACAATTGTAACTTGTTGCTCCTCGGGTCACCTGACTATATTATTCAGAAGCTCCAGCGCGTTCAAAACTGTGCCGCACGCCTTGTAGCTGGGCAACCTAGGGCTGCTCACATTCGCCCCGTCCTTAAGGAGCTACTCTGGTTACCTGTGGAGCAGCGAATTACCTTTAAAGTATTACTGTTAACTTTTAAAGCTCTCAATAATCTGGCGCCTCTGTATTTAAGTCAACTAGGCATGAAATTTTTTTTTCTGATAGCCACTTAGCTCTTAAATTCTTCAAAGTGGTAGCCAATTAAAAAAAAGTTGGTCGCCACCATCAAAGACAAACAAAACCCTCTTTTTATGCTGTTAGAGTTCGAGATAGATCCTCCAAAATTAGGGGATGATAGGATGGATAATTAAGGGATCACTTGGATGGATGATATACAATCTTCAAGCTCACCTAAATCCAAGATGGCATCTAGTTATTGATCAAGATGCATGTGCTCCATTTTTGAAACAAACTTAACAAGGAAATTTGCTGCTGATTTATCATTGCAAATCTTTTTAATTCATTATACCTCTTGGTAAAGTTATGATGAAACATTCTTGTTGCCAATTAAGCAACTGATTTTCACGATTTGTTCGCCAAAGTGAAAAATTTAGTCACATTGGTGCCTGTATTGGGTGCAATTTCATGCCCTGTATTATTTGTTGTCACTTTTCATCATGCTTTAAGACATCGTACAGTAAAAAAGGTTTAGAGGGCCCACATAGTGAAAGCAAGTTTGTTGCCTTTTTTTCCTGCTTGATGCAGCCCTTTAAGTTGTATCCTCTGTGCACTTCTACATCTGAGGTATCCAAAGTGGTAGGCACTCTCATCCACATCACCCTTGCACCTGTTGATGACAGTGAGGAAAGTAAGAAAAAGCTTTTAGTTCCAATAAAGAATAGAGGGGAAAAAAAGGAAAGATTTTGCTTCAAGCACTGTTAAATATGTGGAGAAGTTGTTAGAAAGAGACCCAACCAAAGATATTCTGGAGTTTTGCCGCAAAGAGAATGAAAAGGCTAGAGAGCACGAGATGCAACTTATGCAGATGAGCATAAGTTGGTTGCCTGGAATCTTGCATTTGTGTCAGCACAAATGCAAGATTCTGAGCATTTCCTGCCTCAAGGAAACTCTCAGCAGTATGGGTATAGTTACCCATCACAACATTCCTATCAATATATAGAAAGCGGGAATATGACACCAAATTATCTAAACCTTTTGACGTTATTTTCAAAACATGTTCAAATTATTGTTTATTCTAATAAAGGAACCAGATATCATGTTACAAGTTTTTAGTTGCTCATCAACAAACTTGAATGTCATTTGATCTGAAAAAGTGCTTTTGTCTAGTGAAGACAGAAACTTGGAAAGACAGTCTATATCACGTTCTCCCTGCTTGTCTATTTCTTGATATTTTTAGCATGATGAAATAACATGCTCCATTTTGTTTGAACTTGAATTGGTTCCTCCACATTTGCTCTATGACTGATGGTGTGTTAAAATACCAAATTTTTTAGTGTCCTCAAGTTATTTCATGAGGTAGTTGTGTTCCTATGTTGGCTAGATATTTCTGAAGCAGTACCACTGTTTTTGAACAATTAATTTCCACCCTTTGAAGTGAGTTGTAACTGAGAAACTGCTGTTGATATTGCCAATAAAGGATTAAAAGCAACAATTCCTGTTCTCAGGCATTTGTTCAGTTGTTGTTCAACTTGTATGTTAGTTTCCCTGAGGGTAAACCCATGCATATTTTCAGGCCTGTTCAAAAACTGTACCCCATTCAAGTCAAAAGTACATTCCAGGCAACCAATCAATTTGTGAGTATTAGAGCACCAAGAGAACTAGCCAGGCGCAATCCAAGAAGATCTCCTGCATTAAATTCTAGATGGAAAACAAAACAGATGCTTGACTTGTAGACAAGAGTTCTTTCCATAATTCTCCCATATATGTCATATCAGGACTGCTTGGACAGACTAGGCCTGCCAACGCTAAAAGAGAGACGCAATGAACTATGTAAACGACTCTTTGATTCAATCGCCAACAACTCGGGGCGTAAACTACACAACTTACTGCCTCCAAGAAATGAACAAAGCTACCGCCTGCGACAACAGAGAACATATAATCTACCACGCTTGCGCACAGACCGCTTTAGACAGTCCTTTGTGTATGCAATGTCCAAAGATGCCTAGCAACAAACAACACGTAGTACTTATCTAGTAACTATACATATTTTAATCCCATTAGATACTTATATTTTTATATCATGTACATATGTTTGTGATTAGTTTTAACATTTGCCTATTTATATATTTCTCTGTGAAATACGCAATTCAGTCTAATGACTGCGATGTATTTGTGAATAAACAGTCTATCTATCTTATCTATCTATCTATCATCTACAAGTCAATGGGGAGGAAAATGTCGAGGAATATTAGTCACAAGTTAAGTCATTGATTAAATGTCCTAGTAAATATTAATTATGTCATGGAATTGATTGCAATAGAGTGTGACAGATTTCATAATATTGTAAAGAGAAATGTTGTAATTGTATGTGTTTTGTTCCCCAATTTAGGAAGGAGAAACTTGCTTTTGGGTGATAGGAATTAAGTATAGACATATTACAATAGGTTGGCTCGGTAATTTACTGTACTTGAGATTTGGGAGAACGATTGAAGTGTTATAACAAGAAAATTGATAGAATGAATAGATAGAAAACCTATGGAGTTTGTCGAGAATAAAACTTGGAAAATATGGTTACAGTCCTCTTTGATTGATATCGAGTTAAACAGCAAATGCAAAGTCGATTTACATTCCATAACATAAAGGAAAAAGCAGCTATTCTTTGTCAAGGGAAAACTGTTGACAAAGTGGGAAAAAAAAACAATTAAGAAGACCGAAGGTAGTTAAGGAAATTGCCCCTTGGTTTCTTGAGTCGCATGGGCTCAAGCTGTCTTTCCTTAAGCTCTAGGAGGCTGCTACAAATGAAATACATACCCTAGAATTACATCAGTTATCAGCAACTGATGCTTATCTTAAAGGCTATGTTCAAGAGCCAATTAAAGTTAAGATCAGTTGTCATGGTGCGCAAAAGTCAAGGTCAACAAATTTCATGATCTTGTCATTTTTATTGCTTCAAACAGGTGGAAAAGTGTTGTCTTCGAAAGGAACAAAACAACTGGTGCGGTCAATGGCCCAGAAAAATATGGAACAATTGAAAAATCATTTTCAGAAATCATCAGTGACAAACTATGTGAATATGAATTGCAAAATCAAAATCAGTGAAAAAGAAATACCTGAAGAATTGTTTCTTGCTTATGACTATGGGAATGTCTGGAGCAACATCAGACTATTCATGCTTTTCATGTAATTAATAATAATAATAATAATAAGCTTTATTTGAAATGCAAAGTAATGGATCAGATAGACTAAAAAGACTATCTGGTATTAACCCATGCGCATATCTATAGTATAAAATCTGTATATAATAAAATTATAATCAATACATAAAAAAGGACAAAATATTGTGATACAAAATGTAAAAATTAGAAAGTATAAGAATAAATAAATTATAACATAGTCCTTAAAGTATATATAACATATTTTCTATGAACATTGCATTAATTGAAAAAAAATAATTCAACTAGTCACTTAGGCCAAGGAGCATTTATGTTGATCGTGATTTTGTAATAAAAATTCAGGGAGTTTACTTTTAAAGGTGCTGAGATTTGTTATAGTTCTTATATCCCTAGGTAGAGAGTTCCAGTCTCTTACAGCAGTGAATTCAAAAGTTTTTTCACCAAAACCCGCCTTAGCATTAGGAACATTTAGTAGAGAGTCACCTCTCAAAGAGTGAGAGTGAATACGAGAACATTTTATAAGTTTGTCTTGGAGTTGCTTTGGACAGTTAATATCATTCACTATGTTAAATGCAGTTATAAATCGAAACAAACGTGTACGGTTGAATACAGTCAAGATCTTTACTTGATCCCTTAAAACTTGTGAACATGTTCCCCTATTCTTGCAGAAAATAATTCTTAAAGTTTGATTTTGAAGTCTCTCCAACTTTTTGGACAATTTCTTTGGACAGTCCATCCATACAATACAAGCATAATCCAGAATAGGAAGGATAGTAGCCTTGTAGATCTTAATTAATACATCAGAACAGAGGAAACCAGATAGCCCATTTAGCAGCCTCAGTTTGGGATACGTTTGTTTGCAAATATGATCAATGTGAGGTGACCAATTTAGAGCACTGTCTACAAACACTCTGAGGTACTTACAATATCATACTTCTCTAAGTTTGTGCTTTTTTTAAAGCTTGTTTAGTTCCAATCTTCATGGCCTCTGATTTAACGGGGTGGACTACCATCTCATTGTTACATAGCCAATCATTGATATCTTTTAAATCAGAGTTCAAAAGTTGTGCAGCCACTTCTACTTCAGAATGAGCTGTATGGGTTTTGATATCATCAGCAAATAGAGAGGCATCTTCATTTTTACACGATTTAACAATATCATTGTAGTGTATAGAAAATATAGTTGGACCCAATACACTACCTTGGGGTACACCATAATCTAACATGAGCGTCTCAGATTATGCACCATTCAAGGTGACAAATTGCTTCCTATCCAGAAGATAATTTTCTAACCATAAACCACTGTGGCCTTCAATATCAGCAACTTTAAGCTTTGACGAAAGGATTTTGTGGTTCATTATCTTGAAAGCTTTGTTGAGATCCAAAAATGCAGCAATGTTAATCTGTTTCTTGTCTATGGCCCATTTCCACTTATCTGTAAGAGTAAGTAGAGCTGTAGTACATGAGGAATTTTTTTGGTAGGCAAACTGTTCTCTGCTTATTAGGTTGTGTTCCAAAGCAAAGGTTTGTAACTGGTTGTTTTCAAATTTCTCCATGAGCTTAGAAAGACAGGGCAAAACAGATATAGGTCGAAAATTATCACACAAAGTGTTGTCTTTGCCTTTGGGTAAAGCTGTTACTTTTGCAGTCTTCCAAAATGTTGGGAATACACCTCGCTGGAAGGACTGGTTAAATAAGTAGGCCAGACTTGGGGCTACTTGCCCAGCAGCAACTTTGAGAGCTTTTGCAGGAATATTATCAGCACCTAAGGCTTTTGTGGGATTTAAATTAACCAATGCTTTTTACACTTCTTCATTGTTTAGATGTCTAAAATTAAATTCAGACTTGTGATCTTCATCAGGGTCAAACAAGGAGGTAGAACCTGCCTCATTATTACATGTTCATTTTGTATATGCTTCAGCTAAGGTATTGGCAGCAATACTAGTGAAGTGAAAATTAAGAGCATTACTTATTTGCTGTGGATCAGTAAGCACTTGGTCTCTGTAAAAATTTCATTGATGTTAAGTGACTTTTTCTTCTTAATACCTGAAATGACATAGTTGAGAGTTTTCTAAAAACCTTTCAGGTTCTTATTTTGTTCCAGTTTGTTCTTAAAATAGTCTCTCCAGTACTTCCTCAGATTGTAAGTTACTTGATTTCTGAGGATTCTGTATGTTGACCAATGAGCATCGTCATTTGATCCTCTATTTTTAGTCGGAGTATTTCAGTCTGAAGCCCGCCAAAATTTGCACGGCAATCAAACGGTAAAGATGGAAGACTAGTACCTCAGTATGCTGCATAATGATCATTACTCAGAATGCAACTATTACGGTTCCCAAGTCTACGTTCCAGCTGAATCTCCAAGGCCAAGTACTGTTCAATTTGTACATCTCTATGCCAACCAAATACACATCCGTATGCAAACCACCCGAGTCAGCCTAGTACATGTACAAGTTACATCACAACTGATCAAATTGAAAGCTGCCAAGTTGGGGATGCAAGAGCAGATGAGAGCAGAAAAAGGGGCAAAGGTCCACAGAAACAAGCGGCAAAGTACGACTCGTTTGAGCCAGAGGAACAGCGGTATCTGGTGAATTTAAGGGTGTCATACCATGAAAGGCTGGAAAGCAAAGGCGTGAAAGTACTGGTCAAAGATCGTTAACAAATTGAATGCAAAGTATAACCACAGCCGAAACACGGAAAAATGCAAAAGGAAAATGAAGTGTTTAGTGGACAAATACAAGGAGTGTAAAGACTGGAACCAAAAACAGAGCAGTGGTTCCATTTGGAAGTCTCTGCACTACAACGAAGTAGATGCAGTGCTCGGAGTGCGTGACCTCGTCATGTTCAGCAATGTAGTGGGAGCTGGTTCGGAGAGCTCAAACACATCAAACACAACAAGCCAAGAAGAGTCTTCATCAGGCACTCCTTCTCCTTCTCCTGCCAACACTTCAAGCAGTTCAGCAGAAAGTGAAAAGGAGAGCAGGCGTATGAGAAAGAAAAGGAAGACCCCACAGACCCCTGATACAGAAAATGAAACCAAAAAAGTCATGAAGACCATAACAGACCAGGGAGGAAGAATTGCCGGTGTGATGGAAAAAATGCAAGAGGCTCAGGCAAAACAAATAGATATGATGACCAAATTTATGGGGGCCATGCTTGAAATTTTAACCAAAGACAATTGATATGAACATAGTAACAATTGCTGGCTTTGACAATAATCGAATAGAACAAAAGTAATGATTGCGCATGTGTAATGCAACATTTCAGTTGAAATTTTTAGCTAATGATTTTTTTTGTGAATCAGTGAAATGTTCAATTTGTGAAAAAAGTTTTGATATTTAAATGGATTTAAACATCCACTAAAGTTCTGAATCATACAGTTTTTGTAATATCAGTTTATGATTGTATTTGAGAGTCCGTGAAATTACCACTTAGAGGAAAATATTGATGTTTACATTTTGAGTCACATCTCATAAAGCAACGCATTGGCAAGCGTTCATGGCAGAGTTTCATGTAAAATAAAACATGTTGATGAATTTGTTTCATAGCATGTCTGGCATCTACAGATTATCCTTAAGAATTTCTCTGATAGCCTCTCCATCACCAATCACATTGTCATTAGGGTTTTGTCCGTCATCTCCAGCATCTAAGTCCCATTCATCTCTGTGTAGAATGCAAAAATTGTGAAGCACAGAGCATGCAATAATAATCTTGGAAATTCATGCTACACTTCTTCTTCGATAAAAGACAATATATGCTATTGGTCTTTTACTATGCCAAATGCACACTCCACCTTAACTCTTGCGGCAGACAACTGCTTGTTAAATTGAATCTCACTCGGATCTCTTGTCCCTCAGGGTAGGGTTTCTGAAGCCAGTATGAAAGTGGGTAAGCACTATCCCCCACCAAATAGGGCTGTATTTCGTGACTGCCAATTACATGAAGGCCTAGGTAGGTTCCAATAATAAGGATGAGGCCTTTGCTGCTTTCTACTGACAAATCTGTTGTGGTACTCTAGAACCAGTTGTAGTCGAATAAGGTGAAGCCTTCACTGGCATAGTAGAAGTAGCAACTTCAAATTTGAAAATTTGGCAGAGACATATTTTGTCGAGATTTTTGGAAGGGTCAAACAAATTTTGTCAGTCCAGTGCGTCCAGACCCATATGCTTGTTGCATGCAATGAGAGTCCTATATAATATGCATGAAATCTAAAGTCTACGATGTATTTTTCTCAGTAAAAATAATTTATTTCAGTCATGTTATTGCAAGCAAGCATCCTTGGAGAGCTGGGAGCAATCAGTTTTCCATTCACGTTAAATCTGTTTTGTTCTAAAGTTGTTTTTGTCTTGCCCATGCGACACCAATTTGAAATAAACAGAGGGCAGGCAAAAAAAGCTGATCCTAGAAATTGCCTCTTCACGAAAATAAAGGAAAGAAAACTACATGCATGTCTTTATTCAACCACTGACGCAAGGAGTATAAAAGAAACAACGCTGTTGTTGTTAAGCCTCAGGAACAAAGAAAGTGTGATTTCACACCTTTTTACGTTTGAGTGATGTAACTTTTCGAACAGGGCCCAGATAGTTTGAAAGAACATATTTATCCTTCATTTCGCGCACAAAGCAACAGATGACAATGCAAAAAACAATGTGCTCATCAAATTCAAAAAAATACTTCTACCCACAAATTAAGAAAACCACTAAATCCCAAAGAATGAGCTTTTAGCCTTACACTTTGCAAAGCTCAAGGCATCTTTAAAATGAGTGTTATAAACTATTGCCCCTAAGACTTTGTCTCTTTAAACGTCAACCAACAACTTAGTAAATGCAAATATTTTTATTCTGCTAAACAGTCCACACAGTTTTGTTTTATGGATTATCAACCATCAATTAACAATCATCGACAAAAATTTTAAAATTAAATGCGTGTGCCGCTAAGATGGTTTTTAAATCACCACCCACCCGCTCTCCAATGCGACCACAACTTTCAAGTTATAATTCTACCTGCAACATAAACACGTAATATTTAGGCATTTTTAAGCTTAAAGTGTCTCAAGTCGTGTGTCACTAACCTATTGTCTATTGGGTTTTGTCTTAGAAAGAATCAAGTTACAAATATATGCAATCATTTAAATTTGGGTAAACTACATGTATCCACACGACCTGACAATCACAACCTTTGATCGCCCAGTGCAGAGATGTTCTCAAAGTTTAAATTGCAAAAACCCACAAATGTTCTTTACAGACAGGGTTCCAAGCATTATTAATGGGAACACCCTACAGATATTATCTCCGTTCCACTACTGGATCAATATGACCTTGCCATCTACAAACTCAGAGCAGAGAATGAACAGTTAAAAAGTTTGACGAAAGTGCAGTATCATTAACTGATAGCAGCTCAAGCAGAGGCCTTCCAGTTGAGAGAGGAACTGACTCTACTTTGCAAAGAGGTGACACAAAGCCGCTTGCCAGTGGACCAGACCAAAACGCTGTTAAGTTTAACATGTCAAAGAAAAATGTTTGGTAATGTGAGAAGGCATCTCATTCCCAGAAGAGAAAAAGGATACAAGGATTGACATTGCATGCTGTCAAGAAACTTCCCACAGAGTTTAAACCTGTTGAGGTAAGTTTTTAACACAATTTGTTCTTCATTCATTCATTCATCTTAGTCCAATCTGACCTTAACAAAGCAAACTGAACCAAGTCATGAAGTAAGATGATTGTACTGAACTCCCTGATATTTATTCTCAATACGTCCACAGATAAAATTTAATGTGTATGGCCAAGAACTGATAATTCCGTTGGCAAATACTGCTTAAGACATGGAAGACAGCTCCAACAATGGCTACACAACTGAAGTCATCAAGTGGATACTTGCTGCCCAGGATCAAGGGCTCTTAAGCAACAGAACTTATCATGAATTGAGAATGGCCCTGTCTGAGGACATCCATGACTGAATCCCGCCTCCTTCTGCAGTGATTCAAGAAAAAAGAGAGCAAAATAAGACCATCAACACAATACCTATACCACAGGTAAGGGACTGCTTATTGGATATTTCTTATTGATAGACTATGGGCAGTCTCTTTTTTCTTTTTTAGCCGAGCGTGTAGCGAAAAGATATGTGATCATGTGGCCAATTTTTGCACATTTTTTTCTTGCTTAACACTCTGCGGACAGACAAAAAAGAGAGACTACTCGTAGCTAGTCTATGTTGTTGGCTCAAAACTGAACCCACCCCACTATAAAATAATACCCATGTTCCTTATGCCTCCATATATGCTTATTTTAAGGAGAGGAAAATAATTTCATTAATTTTAAAGTCTAAAATGTAAGGAAAAGTTATTTACAAACATGATTTTATGCAGTTATGAGTTAAAAGTCATTTAATTATTTATTTTATTAAATAAAGGATCAAAATAAACCACTTTGTTTTCTGGGTTGCTTATTAAGTTCAATATTTATTGTCATTGTGGGCCCTGTAAAAAGTAATGCTCTAAACTGACTACCACATCCTTATCCTCTATTTTTTATACCAAGGCTAAGAATGGAGATGGCTCCCACTGCAGCATCAGGGAGGTGTTGGACTTTGGATACTTCATAAAACAATTTCAGAATCAGCTTAGGTTTGCGAGCCTTTTTATGCTATTGTTGAACTTTAGAAAAATACCCTTCATTAGTCTACCCACATGCTGCCTCCCTTTATTTATTTATTTATTTATTTATAAACGTTAACTGAGTCACTCAAACGTAAAAAGGTGTGAAATCACACTTTCTTTGTTCCCTTCGGCTTGCGGACGTGTTTTCTATTATATTCATTACACCAGAGGCTGAATAATCTAAATTATAATAGAAAACTCCAGCTTTATTCAGTCACCTGTCTTGGTCTTTCCTCTCATCTATTTAAAAATAAAGATGAACCTGGAACCTCCTTGCATGCTTTGGTCGAAAATTATTTTGGTTATACCTCAAAATAATGAGATGTTGTACTTTTCGCTTCTCTTAGCCAGCACCAGCTAAGAGAAGTGAAAAGGGTTGGTGCTACCCTCCTCTACCAGAGAGAAACCCATTCAATTTATAACTACCATCAATTCCTTTCACTTGGCTCTTAAATATACCTATATACCTTGGCTCTTAAATATACCTATATATTTCTGACATTTCTTTGGCTTTTCTAACATCAAAGTTTCAATTGAGGGCACAAAAATCAGAGGCAAAATGCGAGTTTTTTATAAACGTGGCTATCCTGGTTCTGTTGTTCAAGAGGGCCACCATCATGCCCAACAAATTGATCAACAGTCAGCACTACCAATGGCTGAGAAGGAAAACAGTTATCGCATTCCATTCACTCACAGTTCGCCCTCACAACCACGCAGTTAAATCTATCATTCTTAAAAACTTTAAATTACGTCAAAACAATTCAGAGACTGGTACTATCTTTTCACAACCTTCACTAATTTCATTCAAGCATGACAAAAAGATAGGCAACTTTTTGGTCAGAAATTCATTTCAAACCAATGACCAATCTGGAACTTTCATATGTGCTCACTCATGATGCAAAACTTGTCCTTTCATAGAGAAAATGTCGGGACTCAAGAGATCCATTAAGATCACTTATCACTTTACATGTACCTCTGCCAATGTCATTTACTTCATAACGTGCACTTATTGCAATAAGTTATACATTGATGAAACAGGAAGATGACTAGGTGAATGATTCCAAGAGCACCTTCACGATGTAGAAAGAGATGTCAAGGATGCATCCAAACCAATCGTTAGACACTGTAATCTCCCTAATCATTCTACACAACATATGGCAGTTTGCAGCCTTTCCCTACATCTAGGCAATTCAGAGAGCTGCAAACCACTGGAACAAACATTTATCATCCAAAGCGGCACTCTTAATCCTCACTGTATCAACAAGCGCTTTTCATTCAACTAATTTATTCTTGTTTTCTTGTCACCATATTCCCACCAATAGCATTGCTCCATTTTCTGCATACAAACCCAGACACAACCCACAGTTCCTCCGATCATTCTGAAGTAAGGCTAACACTTAAAACTTCAGCCTTTAAACTCAATTTACATTGTCAACCCAGTTGTTAACACTAAATTACCTGTTATGACTAGAGTGGTCTTTTTGGTTCTGATAAGAAAAACCTAATTAAATTCTTGCCAGCAAAACTTGAAGAGATTGGTGTCCTCTTCCTAGAAACTAAAGAAACTGTGATAACACTATGGAAATATTTTTATACATTTTACAACTAAATCAATTCTGATCCTACTACTGATGACTTCTACCACGATATTTTTCAGAATTGTTGAGACTTTGTAAACTTCTTCTGTTCAATCCGTGGGGTTAGAATAGGCTATGCAAAGAAAAGAGTTACTCCGTACATGCATCCACTACTATATGTTCCAATGTTCATCAAAACTTCTAATAACTTCGGACAGTTCACTAGTCAAGGTATTGAAAAAAACAATGATGATGCAAGGTTCTCAGTAGAAGCAGGCAACCAGCAGAATTCTGCTGGCTGTAAGAACGAAGTTAGCCACCTGTAGTGGCTTTAAAATTCTTCATTTAATTCAAAGAAAAAGGTGAGTGAAAAAAATTAATTATTGCTAATTCACAACACCGTTCTCGCATCAGTTTCTGGTTATCAAGGATGCATGAAACTATTGGAAAACCATTTCACAGTACATCACATTCGTGACTGCTTTTGACAGATGCCAAAAAGCACTGTCAGCTATAGTGCGACCTGAACATTAAGTTACTAATTTTTCACGACTTGCATGATCACTACACACGCAAATTATAAAGCTGCTACCAACATTGAAAGTAAGATAATTAAAATATCAAAACGAGAGAAAACACTCTTCGGATACTTCATGCCAACGGTTAAGAAAAAGAAGAACGCAGAAGTCAGTGGTGAGAACACACCTATCTAGCTTTTACTTAACTTAAAAAGCACACTCCAAATTCAAGACGTCTTGTGAGAAAGAACTCAAGTGCTGTTAAGTCAATATCAGGAAACAAAGAAAAGGAAGCTTTAGTTCCCTTACTTCAGGCTTGTTTACAGCATGACATTGATACCTTCTAAAGACATTTCATCTGTTTTTTGGGGGGTTGCTTAGGAGAATCAGGTACGAGGCAAGATGCTGAGATTTCACATGTTCCTCAAGATGTTGAGATTTCACCTGTTCCTCAAGAAGACCCTTCTGAGGCTCACCCCTTAGAGCAGCTGGAAATCAGTTTACCAAAACGTGGGGAGGTTGAAGTTAAAGAGCAAGAAAAACATGCCATGCTGAATGAGATGCAGAAGATTTTCATTTCAAGAGCGACTAATGTTTGCCTCCACAACTATTACGAATGTGCAGAAACAATCACTACCAAACTTTCGGAGAAAGAAGTCTCACGTTTTACTTCAAGCTGCAGTCGTGACAGATTTGTCCATGGCTGGTTGGCAGACAAAAGTATTTCCTTCTGCAAAACGACTGGCCTATATTGGCTAGTGTATGAAGAGGGGCAGGGAATGTACTGTTTTCTCTGTAGGAAACATAACACTGAAAATGTGAAGAACAAATCCAAGGCCTACAATTCCACTCTGAGTGTTCATTTTAAAAAATCAGCTATTAAAGATCATTTGTTATCTCATCAACACAAGGATGTCGTTGAAGCAGAGATGCTGAGCAGTGTCGCAGTTTCATAAGGAAGTTACAGAGAAAGAGAAGGTGAAGGATGTAGTCTTAATGAATGCTTTCCTGGCTGCTTACTGGCTAGCTAAAGTTACAGATATAGCTGTAATAGAACTCTTAATAACGTTTACTCATTTTTTTAATTCCAAGACAGGCAAAGTGGAAACACATTTCCTGTTTGTTGAAGACATCTTAAAAGATTCTACTTCTGCCAATGCTGAAACCATCTTTAACATTCTAATTAGAAAGCTAGATCACTATGGTCTTCAACTTCAAAAGCTGAGCTCCATGGCTTCTGATGGAACTGCTGTCATGGTGGGTGAACAATCAGGTGTAGCTGCTTATCTTAAAGAGGTCAACAATAGAATGATTACGTTTCACTGCTTGTGCCATAAACTAGCCCTTGCCTGTACCGACACAACCAGTGACATCAACTACATAAAAAATGTTGAATTGTGGTTGAGACAACTATCGAAGATGTTCGAAAATTCACCAAAGTGGATGGCCCTTTACTTGAAAGTTCAACTTGAAATCAAGTCTGTCAATCTGTAAGATAAAGGCAAGGAAACTGTAGGCAAAAAGCTGAAAAAAACCGTGTCAAACAAGATGGCTTTCTTTTCATGCTGCTACCTCTGACATTTTCATTGACTACCTTGCAGTTCAACAGACACTGAGACAGCTCAAGGATGAAGATGCTGTAGCATCTGGTCTCCTCAGCAAAGTCAACACAGCAAAATTCATTAGAGTCATCTACATCTTGAATGCTGTCCTACCCATCCTCTCTTGCCTCAGCAAGACCTTTCAGAAGGGGACAAATAATGAATGGACTTCGGGTATCACTACTCATAATGATTTTGGTCTTGACAAGAGTTTTATGGGCCTAAAAGTGCAAATGTTGCGAAACGAATCACCAATTGATTTATTTGAACTCATGTTTACTGATGATTATTACGATCTAATTGTAACCAGAACCAATTGATGTGCTTCTCAACAACGGGAAGACCCACTCAATCAAAGACAGCCTTGGAGTGACCTAACCTTTGCTGAGTTCAAAATGTGGCTTGGCTTGCGATGGAGATCGTAGGTAAAGCAATTGAGGAGCAACAAAGAGAAAACTACAAAGAGGAAAAATAATTAAAAATAGAAACAAAAAACATTGTAAACTGCAATAGTAGTGATAAACATGCTTAAGCTATTGTTTTGTGGCAGGATTTTCCTATTCAATACAGAAGACCTCTTTTATCTTAGTGAAAAAACTAGAAGCTAAAGAACCATTATAGAGGTTGCATCTTAAAAGCACATATATTTAGTGGAGAAGGATGCTTATGCAAAGTTAAAACTGGTCATTTAAAAATTCCCAAAAATTATGAAGGGTCTTTCCTTTTCAACACTATGCAGGCAATGTAGAGGATGCAGAAATAAAAGAAGTCTGAGATCACACTTCTTTTTCAAGGAGTTTCCTGGATTGCCACTCGATAACCCACAGACCACTGATTTTTTTCTCTGCTAAGGAATCCCAACAAGGATTAAATTACCTGTAGCCCGTTTTAAGCTACCAATGTTTAGTAATCAACAATTGATTTAAGCCTCTGATAATGGCAGCCTTCACTTGCTCTTTGGCATCAAAAAGTTGCGTGCAACTTGCCTTTACTGGAGCAAAGATCCACTGCTCAGCATTCCAGCAGTTCAAAATGTAATTTCAAGAAATAGCTCTGATAAACTGTCTAAATATTTGCACTAAAAAAAGAAATGCAAATCAAGTGCCTCATGAAAATTCTGCACACCATAAGCTTTTTAAAGTACAACCACTTCTCAATCATGTTGTACAGAATTGTGGAATGGAACTGAAACAAGAAAGAGATTTGTCAGTGGACAAGGCAACGGTTAAATTTAAGGGACATTCAAGGTATGAAACAGCACATGCCGATGAAGCTGGTGAAATAGGAAATCAAAGTGTGAGTTTTAACAAAAGCATCTGGCAGCTTTGTTAGTAAATTTCAGGTGTATACAGGGAAAAGACAAGATGGCCTTGCAGAGCAGAACTTAGGTTATCATGTTGTTCATGATTTCTCACAGAACCTGACAGTAAAAAGTCACCATGACTTTTCAACAACTTTTTCTCAGCTATCAAGTTTGCGGAAGATCTTTTAGAGGACGGTATCTATTCTTGTGCATTTGAGAGAGCAGACAGCAAGGAACTTGTCACAAACAATTGCAATCGATCTAGCATACAAGGCAAGGAGAGGCAGTCTTTCGCAGAGAAACAATGTGGTTGCAACAGTGTGGAAAGACAAAAAAAGTGTTCCATTTCATTAGCACTCAAAGCAATCCAGTCAGAAATGAGACAGTGAACCGTATAGAGTGTGACAGAACAATTATTCATAAGCAGTGTCCCTATTGTAAAAAGCTACAAGAGAAGGGTAAGAATTGATCCACCTGAGCGGCTCCCCAACTATTATGCCATTGGAAACAAGTCTTGAAAGTAGTACTTATTTCTGGTTTTGTTTGGATTTAGGAATTGTCAACTCTTTTATTTTGGAGGGAAAGGTGATTAACCATCCTCAGAGGCTGGGCAAAGGCCTCTTACTTTCAGAAAAGGGCAATGCAAACGTTGTCTCAATGCAAAGACAACATTTTGCAGAATGGACTGCCAGCACTGCAACAGGCACAATTGTTAAAAGTGCTTTCCAAACCACATCGGTAACTGATATCACAAGCACACAAAGGTTAAACTAGTTGACCAGGAGGTTTCTTAAACAATTTTCTTCAATGATTAGGACTCAAGACATTGCTTGACTTTCTGTTTAATGTATATGATGTTATTCATTTAAATTTTTGAGGGTTTTTTTGGTGGATATCACTTCATTACAAAGTTTTTGACCATTTCATTGCTAAGCAATTGCTATATAGAGCGTAAATAATGGAAGTTTTCTAAGGGTGCGTTTGATTGACACTATTCCGGAATAAGAATAATAGGAATAAACCCGAACAACCGTTCGATTGAGACGCTATCCCAATTCCGGAATACATGGAATGTATTCCAAACATTCTGCTCCAAAGAGCAGAATACTTGGAATAATCCAGAATAATGACGTCATGCTTCGCGGTTTTTTTCAAATCAACAGACAAAATGGCTTCCGCTGCGTGTGAGCAAAACAAAATTTTACTCAAAAAAGGATACTACTGGAGTCGGGAAGAGACCCTTCTCCTCATTTCCTTGTACAAAGAAAAGAAAGAGATGTTCCAAAATGTTAACTACAAGAAGAAACAAGTCTGGGAAGTGATTGTGGCAATAATGCAAGTGGAGAGTGTCGAGAGTGGTCAAAATATTTCGCCGCGGGGTGACCAGTGCGAAGGCAAATGGAAAGCTCTCACCCTTGGCTTTTGCAAATGTGAAGATCATAACAGTCAAACTGGCAACGAAAGAAGAGAATGTCCATTTTACAAGGAGCTATCGGAAGTGTATGGCTACCGGCCTAATGTTAGGCCATATGCCACGGCAAGCAGCTCAGGGCAAGGCGACTCCTTAAGGTGTCCTGAGAACGATTCCGCAAAGTCAGAGAAGTCAAGCAACGATGATGTTAAGGAAAGAACACCTGAAACAAGCACAGCTACGAAGAAATGTAAGACAGTGGCAAGCAGCTCTACGACGCCCAAGAAACCACGGTTGGGCTCTGGTGGACGAAACGAATGTCTTGCATGGTTTAAGGACTATGCAGAGCAGAAACGTGTCGAGCAGGAGGCTCAGCGAGAAAAGGCTGAAAAACACCACAGAGATAAAATGGAGCTGCTCTCTGGCATCTTGGGTGTCCTAAAGGATTTAAACAAATGAATTCCAGCTCTTGAAACTGGCTTTTACTTTGCCCGTCAATTTTTGAACAACATATTACTGCATATGGACTATAAAGTTGCAAATGTTAAACAAGTTACTTTTATCTGCTGAAATCTTTTAACAGACATTTTAAAGTATTATTTCAAAACCAAGGATATTTACTATATGTTATTTATATATTTGAAGTGAAACAGTTTATAAAGTCCATGTTAATGCAAGATATAAAATGATTTTATACTACTTATTATTAAAAGACAATTTTTAAAATTTGTGGCAGATGTTATTGAGTATTTCATAGAAAGGGAATGGCTTTATCTGATGTGCTGGGTAATTACAACATACTCTGAAAATTCTGCATAACACAGTTATAAATTTGGTTTAGAAATGCTGCTAGCTGACAGACTACATGTTGATCATGATTGGTATAAACATCCAAGTAACAAGTAATGTTACTACATGTGCCCATAGGGGTTTTTTGCTGAAAGCTAATACAATTTTTTTTTTTTAATTCCCATTTTGCTTGAGTTTACTGCTCAACATTGAATTTAAGAACACTGAACAGTTCTTGGCATTGGAACACAGTTCATTGAACTTTGTTTTAGAGCAGATTTGGGCTGGTTGAATTTGTGAGGGAAGGACAGTGTGCAAACATAATATATAATATAGCTTCAAAGGGGAGTATGGCTATAAAGCAGCTGAGAGCATGATGTAGGTGTGGCAATAAACTTATAATTACCATAATACGGTGGCATCAATAATTGTGGCAAGAGTAAATGACAAATCTGAGGAAGCCTGTACTACAGGAGCAAAAAAATGTTCATACAACGTGACTTTGTAGATTCTTTCTGATGAAAAATATTGTTCCCTTCATTGTCATATTATGGTGCAGGGCAGTTTGAATAAGTGAATGTTATTTTCCAGAAAATGGAGACATCTTCTGGATGGAAGATTCAAGCTGTTTAAAGAAACACAATTTTTTGACTGGCTAGTAAGCAGGATTTGTACAATAACAGGTAAATGCAAATTTGATTTCTCACCCCTTATAATTATTTTGGCTTTTTTAGCATTATAAGGGGTTGGTGCAAATGGGAATCATTACATATATTACAGGGACATTTATTACCTTTGTAGAAGCCCCCTCCCCCCTCCACCTGTTATAATAAAACAAGAATGAAATTACAATTGTGGTCTTAAACTACTGTCTGGGTAAAATACACTAAAAGTCCAAGCTTCCGTGTCAGCCACTCACAATGCTGTTGACTAGCAAAAGCTTGGGCTTTTAGTGTAGTTTACCCAGACAGTATTTTAAGGCCACAATTGCATTTTCATTCTAGCTATGTATAAATCATGCTACTCAAGGACAACATGCAAAAAAGACAAGATTTTACTCAAAAAGCTAATTTATAACTTGTATTTCTGCTAGTGTCAAGTATACTGTCAAATACCTCTCTATAACTAAGAAGAGCTGAAATATTTAATTGCAATACATTCTTTAAGTTTTCAGCCATAATATGTTCAATGTTTAACCATTAAAAAAAATATGACCCTGAAGGCTTGAAAAAAACTGTGACTCTCCCCCCAAAAATAGTAGCCCAACCCCCCCGCTAAATAATGACCGGTCCCTAATATATATAAATTACTATTACAGATAGAGCAGACAAGAAGTCAAGTGTAAGGAAAATTTTCAACCATCACCAGATAGTAGATTTTTTACAACAGCAACAGAACTTAACAGTAATTCAAGACAAGAAGTCAAGTGTAAGGAAAATTTTCAACCATCACCAGATAGTAGATTTTTTACAACAGCAACAGAACTTACCAGTAATTCTGCATGAGCTCATTACGCTTGGCAACTGCATGACAACCTGGAGTCAAGATATTTTCAAAACCATTAACTTCCTCTTCTATGTCACCCATAAAGTCTTCCCATTGATCACCGCTGTCAAGGCATACATTATGTAAGGTGCATGCAGCAATTATTACTGTTGGAATATCCTGGATTCGTAACATGTCCAGGTATTTCAGTCTGCGAAATCTTCCCTTTAGCAAGGAAAAAGCCCTTTCAATAACCATTCTTGTAGATGAATGGATGAAATTGAATCTCAGCTGCTGAGGTGTTAAATTGCCACGATCTTTAAAGGGTGTTATCATCCAGGTCTCCAAAGTGTATGCAGAATCCCCCAGGAGGTAGGAATCATCATTGGGAACAACAGTTTCTGCATAACCTTCAATGCGAACCGCTTTACGCCGCTCTGACAACAAGTTATTTGCATAAAACAGGGGCAGAAACTCTTCTAAGACATCTTCTTCCTCTTGTACAGATTCCTCCTCGAGAAATTCTTCAACAAAAGTTGCAAAACCTGCAACAATGACCTTCAATGTCGCCGCCATGTTGCTGTTCATGATGTTACGGAAATTTGTATTTTCCTTTGGAAAACTGCTGTCTGCGTGTTATGTCGCGGGCATTATTCCAGAAACGGAATAATCGTTTTATTGAGGAAAGGATGGAATGGCTATTCTGGAATAATCCGGAATGTATTCTTATTCTGGAATAGGGTCAATCAAACGCACCCTAAGTTGTACTCTATTCAGGTTGCTCAAATTCACCCCCACCCCCCATTGCCTTTCTGCTGTAATTAAGATCTAGAATTAAGATTATTTCAAGCTGAACATTTTTGTCTTTCGCTTGATAGTTTTTAAGATAAAAGACATTATTGAAGACATGGTAAAAACAAGACATGTAATGATTTCATTGGTCATTCATTTGTCAGAGTCCTAGGGATGTCACCAATCTTGATGAAGACTTCAAAAATGAAGTGGCAAGTGTCCTTGTTGATTGTTGGCATTGGCCAATTTGGCTGTCACTTCAAGATTAAAAAAGAAAATTTCAGGGCCACAGAAAGCTCCTTGAAATTCCATTTTGGTATCAACTCCTGGAAAACTCCATTAAGTTGTTTCTTAATATTAGTTGCAGTATTAAAAAAATAATCTTTTCAAACAATTTTAACTGGAACTGCAGTTTGTAAATACAGTGTGGATTATTCAGTTTTGGGTAAGATGGCTGTTGACTGGAGAAGTCTATGTCAAAGACTGAAGAAAGGCTAGAACAAATTTGACTTGCCTTTTATCAACTGGACAAATGTGCATCCTCAATGTCTCTTTTGCCATATCAGTTTGCTTTTATTCAAAATGCCAGCATCATGAGTGTCAGAGTGTCAGTGAACTAGGATAATTCAATAGGACAATAGGGAACATGATTAGGTGCAAAGGTTATGCAAGGTATGTTATGTAACACATGTCCCAGAGCAGAACTTTAAATAGTCAAGTTGCATGCATGTTTGTCAGTTACAGCTTTAGGATTTAGCAGTGAATTTTAAAGTTTGGTCAACTGTTTTAAATCCCCGGTGTAGTGATGTTATTCTGCGCTTAGACAGAACAAGAAGAAGGATGTGTTTTATGAAATTTGCTACATAGAAAAGCTCACCACTGAGTTCAAAGCTAAAAGTAATGACATCTGGCAATAGTTTTCCCATAAGTATCGATATCCCAAACATAAATTGCAAGTTTTAGGACATTCTGGAGCACAAATTGGAAACTGCTTATAGTCCTAAACTGTTTCATCTTGGAAGCTCCCACCTTCACACAGTTCATGGTACCAGGATGCTCACCTCCTCCTTTGTCTCAA